ATGTATTTAGCAACAGAACACCACTGGTGTGAGAGGCTCTTCGCTCAATAATATCAGAGGAGAAACAGCCGGCTGCTACCACTTCAACTTTGGGACAAACTACCAGAGTCCCAAAAAGAAAAACACCATTTGAAGTCACGGACAACAAAAGATGTTTGGACCTAGAAAATGGCAAAAATATCTCGTTTATAGGGATGGGGTTAAACCCTGCATGGGGTTAAAGATATGCGATATAAGATTGACATCCTGTGGTCAAATTTGGGTACTGCAGCCTTTTTTCTAAACAAAAAGCAACTTATCCCATTCGGTGCATTTCAGGGTTGTTGGTTTCAGCTTGATTTTTGTTAGTTGAACAAATCAATTAAGCTTTTTATTGTTTTATCAATCTAAGAGAGACAATAAACACACAAAATAGAGATCCAGGACTGCAGGGTTGTTTTGCACCAATATGTACAGCGGTTTTATTTGTGATTTCCCCAAAACATCATCAATATTTTAACTACATACAATAATGGTGATCAAAAGAAATCTGCATGATAACGGGGTGGGGTGTGGGGTGTGGGGGGGACACCAAAAATAAATACAAGTCTTAAAAAAAAGGTGATTTGAGCAAAAACAGACACATTAGTTAAGGTACTTATGCATACCACTATTTTTCATAAAAGGCTGTTAATGGTGCCATGATAGCATCGCCATGGCAACTGTGAATACTGACTTCAGCATGAAGCCCTACAGTCTAGTGACTTTTTACTGCAGGGTAGTGCGCAGGTGAGGAGGTAAAGGTACTTATCTTGGGACTCAGGCTTAAAAGTAAAATAAAAATAAAAACTTTTTTTGCTCAAATAATTATTACATTAGATCTGTGTACAGGACGTTCTTACAAACAGGTTTAAATTAAGTCAAATCACATAAATTTCGATTTTCATCACACTCTGCTACATCAGCACAACAGCTCTAGAATTTTTTCTCTTTACATTTATTTATTTATTCTATAGGGACTTTTAAAAGGGAATAAATAAAGGTACTGACTAAATCACAGCTAGCAGAGTGGCTTTGCACATCCTTTTGGACGACATGCACCTCCTGCAAGCACGCTACTATTGGCTTGGAAATCTCTTACAATAATTCAGGAAATTAGCAAATGTGTTGATACATATATATATATATATATATATATATATATATATATATATATATATATATACATATATATATATAAAACTCAATGAAACTATGTAATACAGAAAGATTTGTATTCTGGCTTAAAACCCCTGATATAGTCCCAAAATAAGGCTGTGGGTTCGAGGCACACCAAGGTACGACTGAGCAGAGCAGTATGTGCATTTACAATCTCTCTCTAAAAGACGTTCCAAATGTACATACCAGTTAAAAACCTGTCCATGTCAGGTTCTGTTATAGCCATTTTTCAGAATAAGAGAAGAAAATATACATTGATAATAAATCGCTTTCAGACTTCATACGTTCGCAGAGCATTTATGAGACAGAAGCACAAGTGCATCATTGGCAAATAACTGCTGGTGAGGGAACGAGAAGTGCACACGTGTGTGTTTGTCTGAACGAGTGTACTGTGTTCACGGTCTTTATGAGTCAGTAAGTTCACCTGTGAATGCATTGCTTTAAGTGCGTGAGTGAGTGTGTGTGTGTTAGCAAGCGTATATTTAAAGAGGTAGCAGAGAAACGCAACCAGAGCGACAGATGAACTGAAACTTTCCACCTGTTAAAGACAAAGTTCACTAGATTTGCAGTGGTCTCTCACACGAGAGAATGGGAGAAAGCTTCATGAGTCGACCTCTGTGGGAAAAAGTTCTGGTGTTCCTGCTTCAGAAGGCAGAAGTTTGTTGGAAAAGCGCAGAAAAGTGCTGGATTTTGAGTATTAGGACATCTCACGTCTGATTGGCTAACAGCAACGTGACTCTACCACTGACTGTTTGCTCTGCAACGCTGGTGTATCTCCACAAATAACACAAGGAGTTCTGCTGTGTGGTGGAGTGGCTAATGCTAACGATTAGCCTCTACTAGCTAAGACGTTCTCTGTTGTTCACTGGACGCTAAAACAACAACAGCCACCCTCGTCACAATCAAAGATACGACAGTGTGACGTAGATCTGTGTGGCTTCTTCTACGTCGAGTCTGACAGGAAAATTCGGTTAGAAGGCTATTTCCACATTTAGCCTGCATGCAAGTATCGTCTTTAAAAAAGAACAGTTTGTTAGTGAATTTGGTCTTTAACAAGGGTGGAACATTTAGGGTTCAGTCATTTTCTCAGATTACAGGTGAAGTAAGTGTAAAGTATCATTAAACCATCATTTTGTATGAAATGACCTTCTGACAGGCGAGCAGTGTGACACTCTTTTCAAGTGAAACTCACATTTTCCGTAGTAAAGGCCAAAACAAAAACAAAATGCCAAAAATGTGGATGTAAAGACTTGACCTAAGAGGTCTAAGCTGCTGAATCGATTAGTTAAGATCTTAAAGTCAATCGTTCATCACAGAAGGCTGGTTCTCCTGAACAACATCACAAAGATCCCAAACCAGAGTTAGAGGGAAATAGAAGGCAGACTGCTGAGAGTAATGGGCTGCAGTGTGTGTGTGTGTGTGTGTGTGTGTGTGTGTGTGACAGAGAGAGAGAAGCCTGGCTGCAAAACAAACATATCAAACCCTTATTTGTACCTAGAAGAACTAACACGGGATCCCAATGTTGCAAACCCTCATCAGGCAGTCGAGGACAGAGAAGCACACAGAAAACCTGCTGACGGGCGTTAATTCCAGGTTTTATTGTTAAATTTTCTCTTTTTTTTGTTACATTTTTACTTCCTTTTGCTTTAGGGACAAGCCGCCTGACTGAGGCGTGTCTACTTATTTAATCATCTTAGCATTTAGGGTTTTTCTGTTTATTACATAGTTTATGCTTTTCTATAGTCTTGATAAAAGTTATTAGAAGTTACATTTGTACAAATTGTGCAAACAAGTTTCTCAGGAATTTCTAACACTGTTCAATAATACGAGGCTTTGGGAAGATGGCCTGAATCAGCTGCCACAACCAGCTTAGAAAACCAGAAAAGCTAGCATGGCAGCGCTAAGTTCTTGTGTGAAATAGGTCCGAGCTGCTATAAAAATCAGGAAACATCCGTTTTATGTAACAAAATAGGAGTAAAACAGATCAACACGAGCACTTAGGGTGTTAGCCCTAAACCTGCTAACACACGAGTGAAGGAAAAGGTGCAAAAGAGGCATCTAGATCAACGGCATCAACGATGGGAGTGCAGGACTTTTACGGGTTTGAATGGAAATTGAAAACATGACCACAAGCCGTCATGTGGGACACGTACTTTTTAAAATGTGGGTTAAAAAGGTGCTAAAAGTGCTTTTTTATGGTTTTATTACAAAAATAAAGTTAGGTTTGCTATATTTAATCAGGAATGGCTAACAACTCTGAAGTAATAAAATCAGTTACTGACTAAAATAAAACAAATTTCCAGTGGCCTTTTTCTTTAGTCTGAGATGAAATCCTTATATTTGCGTTGACTCTTCCATCTGAAAAGGACTTCAGGAACTTTAACTAAAGCATCCTAATTTAATAAGAAACAAAAGGACTTGGTTACAACCTCCGCAGGAAAAAAAAAATTCAAATCTATGAAGACAAATCTGAACCTTGCTGTAATTACTTTCACCGCCACAAGGGGGGGACAAACGTTCTGCACTGCAGATGAAAGATTTGTCGGCTTTCGTAGAAATCAGAGATACAAATCATCCAGCGTTTCAAATAAAAACTACTGCACACAAAAAACTCAATTAGTGTTAAAAATGTATCTTTTTTCATATCAGACACAATCACGCTGCGACAAAAACATGATACATATTTATATATAATTGCATGTGCGGACAGGAGAGAGGTAGTATTTTTGGGAAACACAGTGCCGAAGTTTGGCAGAACACCGGTTGTTTGAGACTACGAGACGAAACCGTGACGAGATCACGGAAAGACAGAAACCAGAAGATTTGAGTAAAGCAGTGACATTTAGAAACATTGGGATCCACTCATTTACTGATACCCCTCACCAGATCACTGTCGGCTATCCTGTAGATCTGTGAAAGCTGCTAGAGAGAGTTGTAGTGTGTGTGTGTGTGTGTGTGTGTGTGTGTGTGTGTGTGTGTGTGTGTGTGTTTGGCTCCCTTTAAAGGCTATTGTAAAAAGTCATTCTGCTGTAAACGACTGAGGTATCTGTTAAATGTTTCCAGCTTAGTGAGGTTTTTTTGTAAGGCTACTGAGGTGGAGCTGCTGACCTGGGTTGAGGGGACGAGGGGCGACGTGGCGGGAGGCTCCGGCGTGTTTTCAGGTTTAATAAGCACAGGGAAATCAGATCTGAGATCAGCTAAGGCTCTCAAACTCTTGCCATGTACCACAGGCGACTCATGAGATTCCCTTGGAGGAGAATTTGGTGTCTAACTTTGCAAACGTCTCATGTTTTAGAAGCTTTGGCATAAACCTTTAAACAATTCCTTTAATAGATACGACATCGTTTTAACAGGAATTATGAAAAGAGTTTGAGATCCACTGAATGTTCATTTTACAGGTTTCAGATATACAATCTTTAAAAGATAAGAGAATATGAAAGGAAACGCGGACAGCAGCAGGTCAACAGAGAAACCTGAAAACCACGCATGACCTCTCACCCCGTCAGCCCGTCCTGCATTCCTTTGATGATGTAGATGTTGATACTGAGCGTAAAATATAAAATTAAAATAAAAAAGTCTCTATGACTAATACTTACTAAACCATTAATGTTAAAAATCTGAGCTTGGAGAGCTGCGATGTGAGACACGGAGTCAAACAAAACCATTATGTCACACTTTGGGTTTAAGAGGCGACATCTCACTCTGCCTGTCACTACATCTACCTGCGGCCATTTTGAAAAATACTTTATCTCCTATGATCTTTATACAAATTGTACACAGTCTGGAAAAAGGTCCGATGCAAAGCCAGGCAGGGGAGCCGCTTTGAAACGAATCCAGTCCCGCAGCAGCAGCTGCTCCCCTGAATCCCAAACTCCCATCAGGCCTTTGGTGCATCGAATTTCCAAAGCAGAGATTGGCTGGCTGCTCGATTAAAGCTAAGAAGAGAAGAGCTGCTGTAGCTGAGGATGAGGAGGTGGCTGGATGCACGGCTGATGTACGAAGAGGCACGCCAAAGTTGTCTGCTGCAACAGTTTGCCGCTGGCTAAATTCGGTATCAGTCCAGCTGAGGCAGAGTTGTTCACTGAAACAAAGATCCACAGACCGCCTTTGGAGGTAACCGCTCCAGGGAAAAGCTTTCCTTGGGTACCGTTTCCCACACTACATCCTTCTGTTAAAGTTTCCCGGCTTAAAACTCGAGGACAACGTGAGAGGGGGCGTGTTGACGTACAAGCGGGAACGGCTCATCTTGGCGTTCCAGAGCAGAAAGCCAATCGCTAGCTAGTCAGCGAATCCTGCCACACGTTAAAAACCAACAATCATGACTGAGAAAAGGAAAATAATCACCTAAATGAAAATAATATGTATATATCATCAAAATCTTATTGATTGAAGAAGGAAAAGACGTACATCCATAATGTTGGAACAAACAAACGAGACGTTTAGTGGAAAGAACTTAGTGAGATGATGGTAAGTTCTTATTTTTGATTTCTCAACACGACTGGGATTATTAACAGAGTTCATAATTGGAATACATGTTTAAGTAACATCATTGAGTTACTTTTTAGTTTCATCCATAAACGACTCACTAAGTTCTCCAGCTCTGCGTCCGTGTCCACTCAAGCAGAAAAACAACGTTTGTCTCTTAATTGCATATAAAACAGCATCTCCAGAGCATCCTCCCATCAACAGTTGAATTATCTTAGTATTTTTTAAACCTACGTTAGCTTCTATTTACAGACTAGGCAAGTGGTATTTACAGGGTTTCTCCACAAGGGGGCGATCCAGGCCAGCGTGAAGTGTGAGCATGCACCAACAGAAACATGATATGTAGTAATAAAGTAGTGATGAACCTTGCTTATGAGTCTGGTGTTGAAATGACATACATGTGACATGAAAACGTAGCGGTTTGGCTCTCGTCGGTGTAGAAAAATCGCTCTCATGCCGGATATTAAAAAAACACCTGAAGGTTTTTTACTCTAGAAAAAAGACACTGTACACGGTTTTAGGATTACACACCTTTAGAATACTCGCTAAGCCCCAAAAATATTAAAATGTAGGTTGATATCGTTGAACATTTTGTTAACGGTGAGTTAATCTTTCTCTTTTTTTAAACAATCATAAGTTTAGGAATGAGAATGTTTTCTTTTTAAAAAAAGTGTATTTCTTTAGCTTCCTTATGCTGTTATTCAGTATGATTAGAAATCACAGTGATGCCTAGAGCTTCAGAAACAATCCGTCTCCTGATTGTAAGCTTACGCCACACACACACACACACACACACACACACACTCGCGCCATAAAAACCAAGAACACAATACGTCGGAAAACACTTTCCCTGAGGCAACAGCTGGCAGCTGGTTTCTGTCCAACTATCTAGTTCCATCTTAGCAGCACTCCAACGAGCCAAACAACTATTTCTGACAAGCCGTCTACGTTTGTCCATCTACAAACTTCACAGGTCCAAAAAAAAACTTTTTTAAAAATTAAAAAAATTCGGAAAGTACAACAGAAAAGTGCTGTGTTGCACTTTAGCTTCGGCCAGAGCCTGTAAATACGCCCCCTTGTGGTCCATCTATAGCCTCACACACTGTACACGTAGCAAAAATAGAAAGGCTCCTCGGAGTTCACCCTCTCAGTGTGTGTGTGTGTGTGTGTGTGTGTGTGTGTGTGTGTGTACATGTCACTTTAAGGATGATGCGTACAGACGTCACCGAGGAGCCTTACAAACCTCTATATTATTCAACACTCAGAAGTACTTCTGCCTGTACACAGTCCAATCAAACACTGGGACTAATGTTTGATACTATATGCAAATATATTCTTTTACATAATTATACATACATTCTTCTTATGTTACACTTTCTTGAACAGGAACTGAAAGCTCCTCCCTTCCACCTTCCGTCCTCCACATTGCACCGTTCTTCCCACCTGAAACATCAGTCTTCATGTCTCCAACAGATTCACAAAGCAGGTCACACCAGATAGCTCACCGGCGCCGCTCGCATCAAAATATTAAAATAACAGTCAAAAAAAAAAAGGACTTTTCAGCTGGTTTCTGGCCACTGACGTGATTTGGATGTTGTTGAAAACTGTAAACCAAGAGTGTTTGTAGCTATCTACACAGTTCAGAGATGTAAATCGGAGCGTTCCTCTTGTCGTTGCCGTGTGTTTGGGTAAACATGGAGATGAGGATGAGCGTGCGAGGGATGCATCCACAGACAGAGAAACTGTGGGGTGTAGACTCCGGTAGAAGGAATCTGCAGGTGTGAAAACGGATGAGCCAACGGAGATGTCTGCGTGTGAAAACAAAAATGAAAATCTAAAACGGATGCAGAGTCGTTTCTGCAAGGATCAGAACGGGATCAGGTGGCCCGAGGGATGCAGAATCGTGTACTTGTGAATCCAGAGCTCCGTTATGGTTTAGTTTTGATGCTCGAGGAGAGATGGGGGGGGGCTGACTGAAAATCTGCATGTGAGACCATTCATCATTTTCCCACTAGTCCAATGTTTTGTCGAGGGAAAGAAAGCCAGAATGGTCGTCGGTGTGATGAGTGCGTTCGTATGCAAACACTCCTCCTCCCGTGCCGCTACGACACCTCGCTGCCGAACACCTCCAGCACCAGCGGGGTGAGCTGCATGCTGTGCTCGGGCTGGAAGGAGAGCGAGCGGGCGGTACTGCTTGGAGTGCTCCTCATTCAGGCTGCGCAGGTCGGCCAGCTTCTGGATCATTTTGGCGTAGAGGAGGCGTCCCCCCGGGTGGTTGACACGGATGTAGGCCTGGAGTGCCTCGGAGAGACAGTCCTGAAGCTGCTCGATGCGGGCGTGGTCCTGGACACCGGGGCGGTCTGCAGTTGGACAACACAGAGGGTTCTTCCTTATTGAAACAAAATAATTTTGGCGGATGTCTCAACAAAATAATCTCATGATAATAAAACTAAATTCTAAGGAAGTTTAGCTCATTTACCACAGACTTTCTTTTTTATATTTAATTTTAAAAGGTTGCTTCTACGTTTGGAATATTTACTCTTCCACTGGGATGCAGGGAGAAGTTCATCTGCTGCATGAAACAGCTAGCTAGCATGCTAGAAGCTGCTGGCAATCCTCTCTCTCTCTCTCTCTCTCTCTCTCTCTCTCTCTCTCTCTCTCTCTCTCTCTCTCTCTCTCTCTCTCTCTCTCTCTCTCTCTCTCTCTCTCTCTCTCCTCTCTCTCTCTCTCTCTCTCTCTCTCTCTCTCTCTCTCTCTCTCTCTCTCTCTCTCTCTCTCTCTCTCTCTCTCTCTCTCTCTCTCTCTCTCTCTCTCTCTCTCTCTCTCTCTCTCTCTCTCTCTCTCTCTCTCTCTCTCTCTCTCTCTCTCTCTCTCTCTCTCTCTCTCTCTCTCTCTCTCTCTCTCTCTCTCTCTCTCTCTCTCTCTCTCTCTCTCTCTCTCTCTCTCTCTCTCTCTCTCTCTCCGTTATTTCTCTTAATTTGCTCTCATTTTATGGAATTACGTTTAAAACAGGACATCTAACTGAATTTCTGTCGTGTTAGTGCCACCTACAGGTGGAACCGAGTATTGCACCTTGAGTGGCGCGTGCTTTGAGCAGATGATGAATTACGACACGTCACAGAAACCGAAAACTCAAGCTGGGAGAATAATCCAGAAATGTGAATGGAGCTACAAACAGAATTTTATCAGTTTAATTTGTGTGTAAAACTCTTTATTTGGCGAAGAGAAATTTAATGATAATTTTGGAATGATGGTCATTTTCCAAATGTCCGTTTAAAAACTTATAACGGACTAAGAAGGGAAACGCTTTCACACAAAGTCCCACAAACACATTCTTCCACCAGCTGCTGTTTATGTTTTCCATGTGCACGTGTTAAAGTCGAAGTAATGAAACAAACATTCTGTTCCGTATGTTGAACAGAGAGGTTTCCCTTCCTGGAACAGGCCGTCATTTGTGTGACTGGCAGCTTCCTGTGCATTCACTTTCGGGGTAAATCTAGGCCAGAACACAAACCCAACACCCCAACAGCTCCTTGGACGACGTGCCAGTGAACAAACTAATGATTTACATTCTTCATTTTCAGAAGAACACAGATCCTGAACGGCAGCAGTACCTGGGGACAGCAGGCAGATGGCCATGAGCAGCACATGTTCCTCCTCGTGCAGGTTGAGTTTCTTCAGACCAACTTGGAACTTCACCAGCGGCTCCAGCAGCTCCAGGGTGTGACCCGCTGCAGAGGATCGCACAGTCAGACAGTTACATGTTCACACTCTGAGCAGCGAAGCATTAAGCGTGTTTGTTTCCGGCATTTGAACAAAGTTTAACTGTTTCTATAAACGTACCATAACCTCGCAGTAAAGTGCACAGAAAGAATGGCTCAAGTGAATCATACCAATGTACAAGTTTCTCTGTTTCACTCTTTAAGGAAACTCCCTGAACTTTAAACATGCTCTGTGTGCAAAAACTTCAAATATTCATGAAGAACAAACATGCAGCCACCAGCTCCTTCCATCTAATTTCTCATTGGCGTTTCAGTAGGACAGAAATGGGAAACCGACCCTTTGTAACATCGTTGACGCAGTATTTAAAATCGGGTCCCCCGCAGCTCCAGGACATGTCCTCCAGACTGAACGACTGGTTTGAGCGCAGCATGATGATCTCAATGGCGCTGGACTTTAACAGAGCGATCTGGTCCTCTGCAGTCAGCTCTCTGAAAACCAAACATAAACACAGAATGAGTCTCAGAGTGAAAAAAGTCATAATTTATTGTTTATCTTTAGTTAATGGAAAGTTTTAGCACTAGGCCAATAAATACTGAAACAGCAGCTCAATCTACAATCAACTGTCGCCCGTATAAAGTTCAAGTTTCATAAACCTCCACTCCACAGAAGAGCAAAAACAAGAAAATTAATAAACTTTAAATGCCTCATGTGAAATATTTGAGTTTGATTGGGTTAAAGCAGCGCTAAAGAGTTTTTACAACTTGAAGCTATTGCTTCCAAACTCGTTCTCTGTGGCCCTCTGCTGAGCAGAAACAGCACTAAACTTTTGTGGTTTGCATAAAACACCAGTGGGAGATCTCTACCAGCTTTATGGCAATAGCTGTTTACTGTGGCGGTAACTCATATAAGGGCTAGCTGTTAGCTTTTTCAGTTCGCCAGCCGTTAATAAAAAGCACAAGAAGAATTTGGTGTTTTATTGTTGACATCATGGTGAAGCCTGGAAGTAAAAGGAACAGAGTTAAGTCTATGGAGGCGAAGCACGGAGCTAAAACCTGAGTGAACATCGGCGTGGCCTTACCCTAGTTTCAGGGGGCTAAAGGAGGCTTCGACATCTTGGACTGATGGTGACCTGGCTTTGTTGCTACTGGACTAGGACATAGTATTTTTTCGTCCAACAGTGTGGATCTTTTCTCTTCTTGGCTTATTTAGTACCCATTGGGTCGCGTTGGTGTTAGCCCATTGTTAGCGCTAGCTGCAGCAGACTGCCGCAGAGTTGTTTTTAAGACTGTTGTAATTCCACTTTGAACCAGTAGGACAGAGAATCAGGAAATGTTTAAATAATTGTGTTTTATTTTTTGTTCTATTCCTACATGTTCATTCTAAATATATATATATATATATATATATATATATATATATATATATATATATATACATATATATATATATATATATATGTATATATATAAATTATTGGTTTACTCATTAAATTAAGTGTTAATGTAAGTGTACAGACAAAATGTAAATAACATCAGCTGATTCTTTTCTACGTGACATAAACATTGTCGGTAGATTGCCAGCAGAACATTAGGTGGGCAGGAAAATGACTGAACGTTCCCCGCTGTCAGACGAAGTCTAAATGTTGTCACAACGTTCCAATTCCAGGCACAAACATCACTTTGTTCCATCCCAGCACGAGATCCATTAAAGCGATAGCAGGTGTTTATCGGTCAGAACGTTCTACTTAACCACCTACACCCACAAACAATACCACACGTGTGTGTGTGTGTGTGTGTGTGTGTGTGTGTGTGTGTGTGTGTGTGTTTGAGAGACAGAGAGAGGACTGTATAATATCTTTATTGTAGCATTAGAGAATACGTGTGCTGACTGTTTATGTGTAATGACCAAAAAGTGACAATATCTAATAAATAAGTGTCGTTATTTATCCTCTTGTTGATTTGAAGCCATTTGAACTTCTTTTTTTCTGGATTCATCACATTTTCAGACAAAATTTTCCCAATAGTTTTTAAATTATGTGTTTATTAAATGTCTTCATTTTTATTATAAAAAAGGCATTTATTGAGTTAAAGCCATGAATAAAATCAGTGAAAGTCTTGTTACAATGTGAAATTCATTCATTTTTAACAAATGTGATAAAACTCTTGTTTTTTTTACCCTTTGATGTAAAATGTGTCCAATTTTCATAAATTATATTAAAATAAATATTTCTTTGATACTAAAACAGTTATCTCTATTTGTTATAGATGCTAAAATAAGCTTGTGTGTAAAATGAGAGGTAATATAGGTAAAAAGTGTGTAACGTTAGTATTACTAAGACAGGATTCTTGTTTGTTTTAGTATCATTTATTTTCATTTTATTTTGGATTGGTCTAATAATATGTCCAATTTATATATTTTCTCATTTTATGCAAACTGTAAAACTCATAAATCAGACTGTACTGCTTGCCTTCTTATAAATGTTGCAATGTAATCACCTTAACCTTTTCACTGGTAAGAAATATATGGACTAAAAACATTAAATCTTGTGCATTAGGAAGCAAATACATTTTACATAACAAGGAAAATAACATTTTAGATGATGAAATAAGGATTTCTGAACAGTAAACAAACAAATAAATAAATTCTAGATAGAAATGTTCTAAAAGAAGGTGAAAACAAACATCTCAGCTAAACTACTTTTTTCATGCACACATTCACAGGGTTATCGGTGAGCTCATCTGAAGTGACAGCCTGTTCCTGGAAGAGCTTGTTTGTTTTCACCTCATGCATTAATGTCCTGTATACGTCTCTGCAGTAAAACAGTACACTGCGTGTGTGTGTGTGTGTGTGTGTGTGTGTGTGTGTGTGTGTGTGTGTGTGTGTGTGTGGGCGGGGACCTCATTCAGGTTGTTATCTGTGCGTGCCGCTGGTATGTTGTTGCAGAATTTTATAACCGAGTAAATATCACGGGAACTCAGTGAGACGGTGGCTGTCTGCTCAAAGTAAGACTTTCACTATCAACAATGGAGCAAAACAGGGAAATACCTCTGTTTACAAAAAAACAAGGGTGTCCTTATATTTGGGAACTTTTGTCATAATAAGGACCGTCTGTTGGTTCATTCTGCCCCTTTCAACTTGAAATATAAGGATATTTGTGGTGTTGGTGTCAGCTGGGTTCATACACTTTGTTAGCTATGGTTTTCCGTAACTCTTCTATGACTTTTCCATAACCATTCACTGAATTTCCAAGACCAAAAATGAACATTTCAGCCGGACCATCGTAGTCGGTGCCTCTAAATCAAACCAACAGTCCAACATGAATGTCCATTTGTTTCGACTGCAAATGTTTGTTACGACTTTCATCGAATAAAACAACATAAGCCGTTTGTTGCGACACGTCCTTCAGTGTCAGCTTCTTAAAACACGGGGCTGGTCCATATGTGCACACACACTGCATATTTCTCACCACATGCAAATCTCCTAGCAATCTGACCGTCAGGAAGCAGTAGTGAGAGTTCATTACTTTTAATGCCCACAAAGAGAACTTCTGTTGCTGTAGAAGCATCCATGACTGTCTGCCTTGCCGTGGAAATTGCAGCCGCTGCATCAACAACCGTCTGTGTCGGTGCGGAGGAAACTGCACTAACGCCATCTTTGCCTGTTTTTAAAAACTCGCCGACTGACAGGCTTCTGCAGCGTTCGACAGCTGCAGTGTGTTTTCCCTTTCATGTGGCTTACCAGCCCCGCCTCTCCCATGCCGCTTATATCGAAGGACTTGGAGCAAAGTCTGCATTTTGCGCGTTTCCTGTCAGGGTCTTTCAGTAGCCACACTCGATACTTCTCCTTGAAAAGCCACTCGTTGTTAAAACTGCACTTCCCCGGCATTTCGAAGCACTTTAAAATCCACGTCGGATAACGAGTTGAGACACCGCCAAACAATGAACCAATGAACACTCGGCCTACTTTACGGTAACGTGAACTCTCATCGTAGGCCGTCAGGTGAACGGGTGAACCCCATTTTCGTTTCATCTCCTTCCGAGCTCTTGTGGCCACTTGCTTCATAAAAGTACATTCATATGTTTTTCATAAGTAAACTTCTCCTCCTTTTGGTAAAGCCATTTTATTATGATCGATGTTTTAATTTGGGACTAGTTTGTTTTGAGAGTAAGGACACATTGGTAACGCGGCTCACACGTGATCGTTTTACCCCAATGGGGTGCACGCATTTAGTAAACAGAAATGGAACGTGGCGGTGCACACGGAGTCGGACAGTAGCAGCGAGAGCGTCATGTTGCACTTCTGTAAATTTTAATCATAGTACACTATTGTATATTAATATTTTACACATCCAAAATATCCGAACAATATTTCAATACTTTTCCAAAACTTTACAGAGGATATTATTTTTCATGAACTTTTCAAGGACCTAGAAATTGCATTTTCAATTTCCATAACTTTTCCAGGTTTTTCATGACCGTACGAACCCGGTGTCAGGTTTCCTGCTCATTGGCCTTGGAGGCTTCCTGGCTTACCGGAAAATTAACGAGCTGTCGAGGAATATTGGCCTGATCCCAGAGCTCAGAGATGGTTTGCACCGCGCTGTGAATTCACAGCCTCAAATAATTGTCGAGATGAATCGTAAGCTTGGAACTTCGGCGGAGATTCATTCTTTGGCACAAAAGATGGATGCCATCAAGGAGAGAGTGAATGAATCAGCACGGATTGGGATAGATTAACGTCCATTATTGGGATTCTGAGAGGTTGAGGACCAACAAACTGTAAGACAGAGAGGAAAGTATCTCTGTCTGGCCCAAAAACAATTTCTAATCGGAATCTGGCGTCCTTGAGCCTGCAAGGCTCCAAGGAAAACTACCCCCTCATAAGAAATGTGGAATGTGCCGTCACTATGGCAACTCAGCTCTGTCTCCTTTCCCAGCCTGGGCGGGACAGCGGGAAGGCCGCTGAAACGTTCCAGGGTCACTGCAACCCTCCAACCCTCAATGCTCCTCCCCCTATCCACACTGAGGTGACATGCGCTGCTTATCGTGGCTGCAGGAACTGAAGTGGGGATAGTCCCAACCCACCACCCCACCTAGTGGACACTTATGTTGTGCTGTCTGAAGTCTGTTGCATTTCTGTCTGAGGTGTTTTGTTGCAGAGCAAAGCTAACTCTGAAGAGCCTTTTTTCCCTCCACCTGAACCAATCCTCATGTAACCCCTCTTATCTCTATTAAGGTAGTGCGACTCAGGGTTGCGAATGACCACAGTCACCAATTCTTGTCATGCGTCTTGCCCATGTATGTCTGATCTCTGAATTGTGTGTACTGAAACTCTAATTTCCCTCTGGGATTAATAAAGAATCTTTGATTGATTTGAAAGAACTCTAAAGCAACCAAGCATGTGAGGATGACTCGGTTCTACGATGGTTTTTGTTCCTACCTGAAGCCTGGGATCATTTTGGCGAAGCCTATGACCTTCTGAATGCTGTAGGAGACCAGGTCAGCCAGGTGGGGCAGCATGGAGAGCTTAGTGTCCTCCTCGCAGGAGTCTGGACTACTAGCGCCATCCTGGTACATCATCAACAGGCTGCTGAGGTTCATCTTGGTGTCCACCGACTCTGTTTGATCAGGAGACGTGACATGGAGGCTTCATTTTAACGTTTTATTACATTTAAAACAACTGAGATCAGAGGTGAGGACACCAATTAGACTGTAGATTAATATAAAGATGAATTAGTAAAGTAATAAAAAAACTTAAAAGCCATGATTTAACTTCACTGCCATTGACGACTAAAGTCGTCATTTGCATTTTTTTTAAACTGTGTGGGTGTCGGACGAGCCCCCGCACTGTGGGAACAAACATCAGCTCTAAAGCCAATCTTAATTCGCAAACGTCACACGTCACGTGATCAGGAAGCAGAACATCCATGTGTTAGGAGATCGTTTTGGGCCTCTGCTGCAAAAAAAAGTGAGGCGCGAACCGGAAAAGCTTCTGCCGATCACAATTCAACAAGATTATGAAAGAACGGATAACACTCGAAACGCGCGGATTCTTTCTGATGTAAGAGGCGAGTCTCCGCTTTGTTTTGGTTGTTTTGGCGTCGACATCATCCTAGCGCGTAACGTTCTGTGACTCTTTAAAAAACAGTGAAAATGCAGAAAAACGCTGGCAGCGAAGGACTTTTCTGATCAGGGAACGGCTGGCTGCAAACGAGTTAACGTGTTCCTGATGTAAATGGCTCTTCTCTCCTGATGCTACATTCTTCTGGTGTACGCGGCACGAGAAGCAACGCTGCAATAAATCCACCGACATGTGTCCCTGCTTAGCTTAACCTGGGATGACGTGAGTGAAAGAAGTAAGAAGAAGCGAGTGTTTATTGTTCTCACCAGGTGAGTGATTGAATGAATCAGAGGAGGCATCAGACAGAGAGTGAAGAGAGGCGGCTCTGCTGGCGCTGCGTGTTACCGGGCCGTCGCGCACCGGAGGCTGAAAACACCCAGAGAAAAACACATTAATGCACTCAGCACTGCTCTTTCCGCTGCATCTCTTAGAGGAAGAAGTTACGTTATAGAAAAGCTGGTGATATAATTACACAGCTGTTTTGTATTGGAACCATGTTTTTTACTAATGTCTGTAGAACTAAAACTGTACGCTCAGTAATGATTCATGCTCTTTGTAGGTCACTTCCTAACTGGTCTTGGATCAGAGAAATAGAGTTTACATCCAATAAAAGTCTTATATTATGGCATTTTGACCTTGTAGTATTGTTATTTTCTCATGAAAAGTGTTTTTTGCTTCACACGTGCATTTTCCTGTCAGATCCTAGCTGGTGTGCTCAGCAGGAAGCATTCAGCTGGACGGGGTTGTTGCTGCGTCCTCACGACCCGCTCCTCACCACCTAGATACAATCTGTATCCCTCCTCCTCTGGACTGTAAACACGCTAGACTGTTTTGTGAATATTTCACTGCTTACTGCACCCTTGAAGCAGGTAAATCTTAAATATTTAACAGCAGTTCTGCCATAAAGACAACATGAAACTAAATTAAGCTATCCACTAAGCCCCGTGTGATTTGTACCTTGAAAGCAGCGATATATAAAAAATAAAATAACTTTCTACCTCTACTTTAGCCTCAGCGGTGCTCGTTAGCTCATCAGTGCAATTCTATAAAGAGAGGCTGAACAGGAAGTTAGCGAGGGGTTTTGCAGCGATGCTAATGACATGAAAGAGCTGCTAACGGACACGCAGACGACTCAAACAGCCGAAAGCGAGTAGCCGTTTATGACTCAACGTGTGCTGAACGTGTTACAGTAAGAAAAGCATGTCATGCACCAGGTGGACTTCCTGTTTTCCTTCTGGTTTGTTTGAAAGAAAATTATTTCAAGTCTTTTTGCAATCGTTTGATTTGTCTCAGTAAATGCCCGCTTGACTTTTTTATAGTGATGGGAGGTAAAGACAGGTTTCAGCGTAGAGTTCACCTGCAGGTCAACGTAACACCCACGAGTCAATGTCTAGTTTACCACCCAGTTGGAGTGCGCCTGTGGTTGTCTGCGTTAGGTCTGTGGGACTTTCTCAGCCAACTTTTATTCTTCATCTGAATTATTTCAGACAATCCTTTTGCTGTGGTTCTCTCAGAGAACACTGTCTGATGAAATGAGGAAAATATGACACGCCTCTTTAGTCTGGCGACCCGTGTCGCTGCAGTTGAGCAAACTGGAAGCACACATGGGTGGAAGGCTGCTGGTGTTGGTCAGGCTAAAAATATGTTGATTGACTTGTTCTAAGTGTTTTTAGAGACATAAACAGGCATTTGTCTTGCTGTGTGAATGTGTCCGTAGGTCGTTTTTGCTCTTCACTAATGATAATGTGATTGTGGTTCAAATAAAAGATGTATTTCTGAACTGGACTTACCCTAAAGCGAGTGAAGTCAGAATAGGAGGTGTCGTAGGTCTTGTGGTGAGCTTCCACGAGACTTGAGATCATCCGAGCCTGCTCATCGTCCAGCCGTGGCCGCTGCGCCTCCCGAGCCGCCTCCTCCTCTTTCCTCTTCATGATCATTTCCCTTTTTCTTTGAACCTCCTCGTCCGTCAGAATAACTGCCACAGACGGTGAAAAGGGGGACACGTGAAAACTTCAGAATAAAGTTACCAAACATCCACATTTACTGCCTCCTCAGTTCAAAGTTTGCACTTTTATCAGGAAAAATGATAAAAATGTAATAAAATGTTAGATTGTTTGACTTACTATACAAAGAAAAATGACATACCTACAAAAAGTCAGAAAATTGTGAGCCTGACTGATCCATCAGCTACATGAAATGATCAAAAACACGAAAACACGGCTAACTCATTTGACTCCCGCCCAATTGTTTTGTACAGGTAATTTGAGAAAATTGCAGCAATTGCACAGGCAGGATGACATTTTCTCAAAAACCTGCAATAACAAACAAATATTTCAACTTTCCAGCTTTTAGGGGCATAAAGTAAAAAGACACGTTTTAGGTCTGAAAGGTCAGCATGTTCGCTGCACAGTGTTCCAGGTGGTGGCAAATCAGAAACCTTTTATTTCAAGCTGTGCCTGAGAACATTCGTTAGAGTGGAACTCTGTCAGGTGTGTCTTTGTGACGGCTGCAAAAAGGGAGTTTATTCATTTTCCTACATACAAGACCCACGTCCATAAAAATAGTAAAAATATAAAAAAGCATTTCGAAAATGTTTTAAAATATATTTAAAATGAGCAAGAATAAGAAATTGCGATTTAATAGAAAAAATGTTAATAAAGAGAGAGAGTGAATAGGAAAGAGGGAAATCAGTGGATCCTGAGGAAGGTGGAATAGGTGGGGAGAGCAGAATAAAGAGAGAGTGGTGAAGAAGGTCATACAAAAGCCAGCTTGAACAAGTGAGTCTTCAGCTGCTTTTTAAAGGAGACCACTGAGTCCACTGATCTCAGGCTCAGGGGGAGAGAGTTCCAGAGTCTGGGGGCCACAGCAGCAAATGATCTGTCACCTTTGACCTTTAGCCTGGTGCTGCACAACCAGTAGGCTTTGATCACTGGACCTCAGGGACCTGCTGGGGGTGTAGGGACTAAGAAGATCACCAATGTAAGATGGTGCTTGTCCATGTAAGGCCCTATAGACCAGAACCAGGATCTTGAAATGAACCCTGAAGTTAACTGGCAGCCAGTGAAGCTGGAGGAGAAGCGGGGTGATGTGGGTGTGTTTGGAGGACTTGGTCAGAAGCTGAGCACGGGCATTCTGAACCACCTGTAGACGGTTCAGGGAGGTTCTGCTCAGACACGTGAAAAGAGAGTTACAGTAGTCTAAGCGTGAGGAGATGAAGGTGTGGAGAACTGTCTCAAGTTCAGAGCGAGACAGAATGGGACTCAGCTTAGCAATGTTCCTGAGATGGAAGAAGGAAGAGCGAACAAGAGAACTGACATGAGAATCCAGGGTGAGAGCTGGGTCAAAGGTCACGCCAAGATTCCTGACAGAAGGTTTGGTGTGAGAAGCAAGCTGACCAAGAGAGTCTCTGACTTTGGGAACCAGCTTGTCTGGGACACAGATGAGGATCTCAGTCTTATCTTCATTCAGCTGTAGAAAGCTCCCAGCCATCCAGGATTGGATAGAGTCTAAGCAGGTGTGTAACAGCTGCAGCTTAGACATCTCATGGGGCTTAAAGGAGATGTACAGTTGGATGTCATCTGCATAAAGATGGTAGGAGATTCCTTTGAAGGAGCTCAGGATGTGCTGAAGAGGAAGCAGATAGAGGAGGAAGAGCAGAGGCCCCAGCACAGAACCTTGTGGGACACCATGAGTAAGAGAGGTGGTGGAGGACCTAAACTTGGAGACGGCCACAGAAAAGGAGCGCTCAGAGAGATAAGAGGAGAACCACTCCAGAGCAGTTCCTGATCGGCCTACCCAGTCTCTCAGCCTCTCCAGTAGCAGGTGATGGTCAACAGTCTCAAAGGCTGCAGTCAGGTCCAGCAGGACCAGAACAGAACAGTCCCCTGCATCACTGTGAGTCAGAAGGTCATTTGAGACCCTAAGAAGAACTGTTTCAGTAGAATGAGCTCTACGAAAACCTGACTGGAAGCTATCATAGATGTTATGTTCATCAAGAGCAGCTGTGAGTTGTTTAGCAACAATCTTTTCCAAGATCTTGGAGATGAAGTTTAGAGATGGGTCTGAAGCTGCTATGGAGAGAGAGGTCGAGACTCGGTTTTTTAAGAAGCGGGTGGATTACAGCGTTCTTAAAGTAAGCAGGGACCTGACCAGAAACCAGAGAAGCATTAATTATAGAGAGCACGCTGGGACCGATGGACTGAAAAGTGGAGGGGGCATGCAGAGGTCTTCAGAGAGTTAACTAGTTTGGTTAACTCAGGCAAAGAAACAGGAGCAAAGCTATCTAGGATGATGGGCCTGGTTGGAGTCGGGAGAGGCGGCGATAAGGCTGAAGGAGAGATGCTAGATCTAACCTTATTGACTTTGTCCACAAAGAAAGACAGACAGTTCTGGTGATGAGCTACGATGTAGCCACAGCTGCCCTGGGGCGCACTGACAGAGACGAGGCTGCCGAGCACTGGCGCCACCAGTCCCTCCGACCACCATCAGCAGGCAACGTGGGTTAAGTGTCTTGCCCAAGGACATAACGACAGTGACAGACTGAGCGGGGCTCGAACCTGCAACCTTCCGATTGTGGGGCGAGCACTTAACTCCTGTGCCACCGTCACCCCATGAAAGGGGCTGGGTGGCATTTTATTAACCCTGTAAAGAGTGATTTTAGCACATACTGGCTCAGGTAAATGATTTAAAAAATGTGAAAAAGTTGCAACGCGTCCCTATAATTTAGTTGTAACGACGTTAAGAAGGCTGGCAGCACTTAGGCACTAAGGGGAACGTTTGTATCCCGTTTTAAACACCATATACTTTTCTATTTTTATATAAACACTTGAAAATAACCCCCGCAAAAAGCAGAATGAATTCATGTTACTTTCATCAGAACTGTTTTCCTTAAATAAATGATGGACACTAGGGTTGCTGCCTCAGTAAAGCACTAATGCCTTGGTCCTCATTAATCCTTTGACTCCTTGCCACAGTAAACAATTACCGAAAGAGACAGACAGACAGCATGACTGCCACACAGACTGCAGCTGCCAAGAAGACACAGGCTGTCATGGCAGGGTCACAACATGCAGACATACAGTGACAAATCTGCTAATCTGGAATCAACGGTCTCTGACATATTTTACAAACACTGATCCTTTGAACAGGACACACTATGCAGATCTGATGTTTTGCATCTTTTTCTGCTGCCATGTGAGTCTCTACTGCCTCTATTATAAACACTCCAAGCTAAAATAAACATTGCCCATCCACTTTTGTCAGTCTTGGTTTTAGGAATTAAGGCCGTGCTCAAATTTAGGGGTAGCATTCTTGTAAGGACCCGTCGAACGCGGTCCTGGTAAGTCGCGACTATTATTTACAGCTAATACTGGAAGTGAGCAACAGAGAATTTGAATGATCTAACCTTCATATTTATTCCAACTCCTATACCAGAAAAAGTCCTGTCGCCTAGCAACAGTGATGGCGCTAAATAAAAGTTCAAACTCAACTTAGCAGCAATACTTGAAGACACATGGGACCCATCATATGAGTTCTTTAGGTATTTTTCTTAATATTTTGTAAAAGCATATAATAAAAAATGCTAATGAAAAAAGCCTGACAGCACAAACCGCCTCACGTCAACATGCTCCCCCACTACGTCCGCCATTTTACAAGAACAAAAGTCCCCCGTTTGGACCACGGTGAATCCTGGTAGTAAAGAGGGAACAAGGACACATTCGAGTATGCATTTAGAGTATCAGCCTTGTCAATTTACTGCGGCAAAATTGGCCTTAAAATGCGTATTTTGGAACGATGCAGCCCCTGGACTTGGACACATTTTGGGGTGGGCGTGGCCAGACCACCTTGATTAACTTAAACGGATCATTCTGGAAGGTACTGAATATGCAAAGAATAAAACTGATAAAAATAATTGTGTGTGAGAGGGATTTTATGCACATAACTTGATGAACATGTTTTTCAGTGCCCTATTATAACTTAAAAATATAATATTTTCCTTTTAAGTATTTTGGAACTTAGAGAAGCGGGATAAAGCTTTGTTATCTGACACTAGACAGTTTCTTCTCTTGTCATGCTTCAGCTTGAGTGCATTTTAGGACATGAGAAAAGTGATATTAGACATTCATTCAGCAGAAAAGATGGGGCCTGAACAGGAAGCACAGGTTCATTACTAAAAGTACATTTGGGCATCATGTTTAGTCATTCAACAAATAACGCGTGTGAGGGAGCCGGGACTTGAACCATCAACCCTGTGTAAAAAGACCCTGTAAAAGATAAAAATCTCTAAAATATGTGGCAATCTGAAACAAAAGCACGTTTTTGGATTTTGCCAAGTGGCTGAATAGACACTACTGAAGTGTGGTTGTTCTCAGTATGGGAAAAGAATTTTTATGGGCTGCTCCCTTGTTCGCGACTACTGAAACAACTTTATGCAGAAGACAACAAAAACAACAACAGGCCTAAAAAGGCAACTGAATAAATCCGTTTAGCTACCCAGGATTTACTGGGCTTTCATTTCTTCTAACCCCCCGCCATTAATTAGGCTTTGGGTGCACTCCAGTGTCCATCTAGGCCCAAGCCAGTAGCCAACTGCCAAGAACCACTCCTTGTGGTTAGGATATTCAAGTATGCAGAGCATAATCATGAATAGGCAGAGTTTGGTCAAAGTTTGGCACCGGTCATCAAAGCAGCTATTCTCGGGCTGGCACTTGAACGAATTCGTTTTCAGCAACATTTGAGCACTGGAATGATTAGGAAAGGAGTTCTTAAGAATAGACAACGTACCATCAAAGGAACATCTCGACCATCCCACACTGCTTGGCAGATACCAAAAGGCAGTTTGGTGTTTGAAAAGGGATGTGGTGAAGTGGTGCCCACCATGGCAGAGAATACAGAGAAAGAAAGGCAAACGGTGAGGTGGGATCCATTAAATAAAACACTGGGTTTTGGCGAAGGCTGGCAATGCCAGAGACGTGG